TTAAGTATCAAGAAAGAAGTAGGCTCAAACTTCAATATATAACAAAGAATGTAGCTCAAGTGTTGTCGAAAAACTTTGATTGAAATAAGAGATATTTGCAAGTTTTGATTACTCAAAAAGTTTTTTAAGAATCGAATAATTTAATCTTTTAAAGATTGAGAAATTGGTAAAAGAAGATCAATAAATGCCTCACTTAAATGCTCAAAAAAGTATATCAATGAATGCAAAGTGAGGGGTATTTATTGTTGTAAAACCGTCAGCAAATCTGTCATACCGAACGAGTCATGTCGGACATCCGCTATTGTACCGGATGGTTCACTAGCCGTTGTATTTCAGAAAAGTTAAAAATTTTTACCAATGGTTCTGCCGGACGTCCGCTACAGTAGTTTTTCGTGTAAGAAATTTCTAATGATTTTGACCAAGGTAATACTCTGAAAAACATTTTTAACTTGATTTTTCAAGATAAGTGGTACTTTATAATGTAAGATTGAATTCTTGAAAAAATATCTTGTGTAAGAATTTTGATGAAATAAATTTTTTTTTTTTTGAGTATAAAATCGCTTGAGCCTTTTAAGATTTATTGCTAAATATTGAAGCATATTACCTTTACATATGAAATTAAAAAGTTCAAGACTATTATCTTCAATAAGGCTCTTCGTTTTGTCATGCATGCTAGACTTATACTTTTATTTAAATAGCAATCTTCAAAATGTTGATTATACCTCCGTATCGATTGTCGCTTTGTTTTGAACTTGGCCTCTTCAAATTTGATTTGCAATATTTTCTATCAACTCTCGAATTCAATTTGTTAGAAATAAACTTAATTTGTTTGTGATAATCAAAATTAGAAGTCAACCGTAGATTAACACAATTAAGTAAATTATCCACCAATTAATTGATACAACATGTCATTGATGTTTAGTATAATAAGCTAATAGGAGATCATTTTATATACACTGTTGGTGTCCGAGCTAATAATCACCTCGAACCCGCTTTACATAAAATTAGAAATTTTTGAGACATGGAATTGGATTCCTTGTAGGCGCAGTGTACAGGCAGCTCTTGTTTCCTGACCTGTTAGGGTATATCCCGCTATTTACCTCTCTCACAAAGCTCTAGGGACAGGACGGTGGGGATCCTCAAAGTTGGGGTTCAACATTTTTTTTTTTTAGAAATTCTTTTAGATATAACCACACAATGCAATACTGGGTCGAACCAAACAGCTTAGCTAGGGAGACATGACCACTAGCAACTTGAAAATGTGTCTCCCAATGATGTGACCACCACCTTAGAAACCACTTCTTAAAAGACAAGTGCCACATCCGACTTGGGCACCTCTTCATCTAGAAATCGTAGGGAAACAATTATGACCTAGGAGCTATGACATAAGTAGAACGATGGCATGTTAGGTTGAACTCAGCAACCAATCAGAACTCTTCAATTAGGGTGGTAGCACACACATCAAGGTCAACACTATAGCAATGTAACTAGGATTGGTTAACATTTGACAAAAGGCCTATAAAGAAGGGCAATGGTCCCCACCCGAAAGCTCAAGAAACTCTTTGTAGTGTAAGTGTTATGCCCTAGATCCAATCTATTTAGGTTGTAAACGCTTTTAATATATTTAATGTATTTGATTTTGGCGAGATCTATTATTTATTTAAATTAATTTTGTGATAAATAATATTAAATAATAGAATCTGAAGATCCAATTTTTAGGTAATCTGTTAATCACAAGGAGTTGTGATTGTGAGATACAAATTACATATAATTGGATCTTGAATAAACCATGGTCGTAAGTAATAACGAGATACGAATATCGTTAATACAGTTAGACCATCACGTGTGGCATTTCTTACTTGTGAAGTAAGTAGCTGATCTCACGAGCTAAAGTGTGGTGACACTTAAATGAACACGTGGATGTTTTGTTATAGAACAAAACATTGGAGACCCGCTAAGAGATTCCACATAGATAACTATCTGAGTGTGAGTGGCTAATCCCCAACGTTCGGTAGTGGAATTGGTCCTTTGACTTGAGGTCATCATGGTACCTTATATGAGGACAGCCATACTTTGGCGGTGTTGGATGTTGCTCTGAAAGGGGCCGCAAATACGACATCGTTCGGGTACGTCAAGAATTGTATGAAGGTTGTGATTGATCAATAAAGGATTCGTCACTCTTAGATAGTAGGAGATTATGATCTACGTTTCATTCAATTAAATCGATGATGAAATCATTGGCCAAGGTGTACTCATAAGTCGAAAAGGAGTTTTCGATTTATATTGACTTAATAGTGGAGTGAAAGATATGATCAATGATCGAGATTGACACAATTTCATATCTCGTAATTGATCGGATCATATTGACGAAGGGATAATAGTTTCATGGTAAACGAACAAATTTGATTTTGTCATACCACGTGACATTTTCCGTCACATGTATTGCCCCAACATATTGCTAGATATCAATCAAGGACGACGAGTGTGAATTGACGATAAATTAAAAGGGAGTATTAATTTATCAATTTTTGATTAGATCAAAATAATATTTCACAACGTTAGGCATCGTGGTCAGGAACCTAATGGGTCGAACACAAAAGAGAATTGGAAGATTGCAAATTGTCAATTGGTTAATTTAACAATCGTTGGATAAATTGATTAATTGAATTAGTTATTTATATTCCCGAACTAATTAATTGGATTAATCAATTCACGGACCGGGTTTAATTAATTTGATTAATTAAATATTGGACCGGACCGGACCGGGTCTGTTTGGGTTTATATATATACATAATTAGGGTTTGAGATCCATAAGATTTTCATTATTCTTGCTGGCACAAAAGAGAAACCCTAGCAGTTGCAGTCTATTCTCTGTATGGATTTCATTGGAGGCTGGACAATTGGACAGCTGTGGGAGGCAGATTCAAGCTGCTGGAAAGGAATAACGCGAAGGAGTTTACAAATTACAAGAAAATGTATATTTCTTATCACAGTTTTTATCTAAATACAAAGCTGAATCCTGAATGGAAATTGAAATTTGTTAAATTCTACTGTGCATGTTTAAGTAAATTCCCAACATGTAGTACACACCAAAAGTTTCTCAATGAGGATTACTCATTTTCATTTATAATTCCAGCGATTACCCTACTAAATTCACTTTAAGTTGATTTAAATTTATCACATCATTTTTATTCATCAACATATCTTAATGTCTATGAGTGTCTATTTTTACTTTAACTTCAATCAAAGCAATCAATTTCATTCATTCAAGTCACCATGAACAATGTTAGAGATCAAAACACATATAATCATGCCAAGATTTAGTAACAAAAACAAGAAAATCGAAAGAAGCTAAAACATGGACTATTTTATTCTCTTTCACTAGATGAAGCGACGAGAACCGCCATTAACTGTTGCTCATTAACTTCTAGCAACAAAGTGATAGTATTTAAAATTACATATTTATTATCATATGAGATCAAAACACATATAATCATACCAAGCTTTCTTTGAAACACATCTTTCGCATTGAAAAATAGTTAAGCGTTAGTTTAAAATAAAAAAATCAGAAAACGTCTGTTAGAAATAAATTTAGCCCTTGTTTGAACCCTTTTTTTTTTTCAAGAAAATACATTTTTGAATAGTGCAATGATGTGAAATGTGTGGTTAAAAAATAAAGAAAATTTTTGGATTTGCACTTAATAATATTTTATTGAAAAATGTGTAGTTAAAATGATGTCAAAATACTATTTAAAAATACATTTTTTTCAAGGAATGGGGCTCAAACAAAGGCTTAATAATCTTTCTTTTCTTAATTAGTTCTCATATTAATGTCATATTTTATCTTTTAGTTCTCATATTTAAACGTAGGCTTATTTTCAAGATATTTTTATTTATTACGATATGTTCTTGGTATGTGTCGAAGAGTTCATGCTAAAGTAAAAATAAATGAAGAGTTAAAAATAACGAGTCAAAGATGACTGCTAATCATAATTTAGTAATTCGATTTTTATTATTTAATTTCCATTTCAACATCACCTTTTCAGCTTATTTTCAGATTGTCATCTTCACTCATCAATATGGTTTTTTAGAATCATTTTAAGTATACACGGTGAACTTCACAATATATTTTTTATATTGAAAAACTATTAAACTGCAAGTTCAGAAATAATAAGTAAATACTGTGAAAATTAGATTTAATAATCTGATTTTGTTTCCCTTTTTAGACGTCAATATAGTTAAAATTCTATTAGAAATCAATTTGACTCGTCTCTTGCTCGTATAATGAAACATAAAATATATGACGCTATTTTGAGATGTTTCTGCAAGTTTTTAAGTAATCTTTAAAAAAAAAAATGATAATAATAATAATAACAAAAATTTTGGGACCGGCCCCCAACACTCGACGGTATCTTATCCCTCTACCGATAATTCCTCTTCAACAAGATTAACATTTTAAATTGGAATCCAAATCTCAATATTTCAAAGTTTGCTAAAAAAAAAATAGGTTTAATATATCTAATGGTTGTTACCCAACACATGAAAATGTTAGTGCGAAAGTCTACTTTCTCTTCATTTAAGAAAAAAATTAATACATCTAATAGCTGTAACCTACTACAACCAACTTTTTTAGCAAGAGTCTGATTTCTCTTTTGTAAAAATTAATAATTAATATATCTAATATCTATATTCTAATACAACAAAATTGTAAAGCAAGAGTCTGATTTCTATATGTTTAAGAATACATAAGATAAGGAATCTCCTGGGCAATTCGAATGTGAGGTACTTTCCATCTTCTTTCCTAGGATGTTTCAACCTTTAAGAATACATAAGATAAGGAATCTCCTGGGCAATTCTAATGTGAGGTACTTTCCATCTTCCTTCCAAGGATGTTCCAACTACCAGTCATAACTTCAACCCTCCTCTCTTCTAAAATAGTAGTATATAATAATTGATATCCCTACATTTGTAAACATACTTCTCTTTCTTTGACTCTTTCCTCGATTAATTTTCGTTTGTAGCAAGCAATGGAGAGAAAAAGCAACGTCAATCCTTTTCAAAATCATGACATCCGCATTGCAACCCCTCAAGGCCAAACTCCTACCAGGGTCCGTCGCTCTCATTTTCCCAAAGATTTTATCTTTGGTGCGGGAACATCAGCTTATCAGGTGTGTGTACTTATTGTGTTATGTTTGTTACGTGCAGAAGATTTTAGTTTCCTTTTTCTTTGTTAATATTCTCTACAGTCATATTCACTTATTAAACATGCTACTAATATTGATTTGAAGATAATAAGAATTGATAAAACAATCTTGAGATTGTATGCTGAGTATAAATGTGGAGCAATGCTATTCATAGTTGCTCACTATGATCTTACGTGACATCCTACATGACAGTATGTAATTTGATCTATTAATATGATAGTTTTTTATTCTCTCATATATCAAATCATTAACCAGCACATGTATATCATATAGGATGACTGCGATAGGAAGTGACTGCAAATAGCATTACTCATATATATATATATAAGCAGGCTCATGCACATGTAACTTAAATTGCATGTGTTCTTATAATTATGGGGAAAAACGTTAAGGCGTGCAACAAACAACAAACGCAAAAGAAAACGAAAAGGAAAAACGAGAATGAAATGAAAATGAATTTAGTTGGACAGCCACTTAGCCTCTCTCTACACAAAGTTAGAATACTCAACACACATGCATGCACAACTTTTTCTCTTTTTTCTGCTTCTCTCTACAGTCTACACTTTATCTATCCCACATAAATTTAGCTGCGGTTTTTTCGCTTACAACAATCTGTAAGAAAAACACTCCTAATTCGGTTATGGCAATTTATTTTCATTCGCTGAAAGTTGCTGCTCCAAATACGGCTTCAATACTGCACCAATTTATTTCCTTCCTTTCAATCCCAACTTCATCGAATACTACAATGAACCCACTAAAGTGGTGCTTAGCTAAGTACCATAGAGCAGAAAATGCAGATCTAGGGCAAAAATACAAGAACAAGATCGTTAACTGAAAATACCATACTTCAATTTACTTTTACTACATAATATTATTCATTGCAGCCGCCAACCTACTATATTCTTTCCTGAATCTTGCTATGTGTACAGCACTTTTGTACACCATTGTTGACAACATTTTCTTATGGGGTGGTGGAGGTCACGATTAAAATAATCATGGGTCCACATCGCGTGAGAGGACTGTCAAAATTGATGTATAAAAGTGTTATACACATTGCAAAACTCTTATTTCCTTTACCAAGACCGATTAAAATATTTTAATTTTTAGTAAAATCTATTTAATTCGTTTTGGGCCATATGTATAACATGTGCAGATCGAAGGTGCCTGGAATGAAGATGGTAAAGGAGAGAGTAATTGGGATCGTTTCACATCGGATAATCCTGGTCTCTCTCTCTCTCTCTCTCTCTCCCTCCCTCCCTAAAGTGGTGCTAAGTACTACTTTTACTACATAATATTATCAAAAATGCTCCTCATCCAGGCCTAAAAACAGGGGACTGAGGTGGCACCCACCTCAGCCCTTGATTTCAATTGATTCAAGGGAAATCAAGGGCTGAGGTGCACCCACCTCAGCTCCCTGTTTTTAAGCCTGTCCCCGGGCCCGAATCTGGAGCAAGCTTCTAATATTATTCATTGTAGCCGCCAACCAACTATATTCTTTCCTTTAACAAGACCGATTTTATATATATATATATACACACATACTTATTTTTTATTTATATATATTGGGGTGGCAGGCAAAATTCAAGGTTGTAGCGATGGGCGTTTGGCTATTGACCACTACCATCAGTGGAAGGTATTTCACTATTGTATGTTTATTTTACTTTAACATTCGATGGGCCCCTATATAATTGAAAATAAATTAATTTAAACTTATTCCGTGGTGGTGCACATGACACTTTAATTAAATTAATTCAGAGCTTATCTTTCACTAATCACGTGGAAAAAAATAATACGCCTAATAAGATAGATTTAGACCAAATCGTTTATTGATGAATAATGTGAAAATTTCACATAATTTGAAATATGTAAATTTATGTATAAACAAATACTTCACTTATAGGCAAAATTTTACTTATAAGTAAAATAAGTACGTTTTTAAAAAATTCAGAACATCTTTTGCTTAATCAAAGTTAATGTTAAAAAGCAATGACAGTACCATAACAGTACCTTAAAAATTTAACTTTCTTTTATTTATATGTAATGAAAGATAAGTTATTCATACATAGAAAATGTAAATTTACTTATACATATATAAGCACTTTCATTTATAAATAATTTTTTTTTTACTTATACGTAAATAAGCACATTAACGTATATTTAAGCCCTTGTTTGACATATATTATAATGAGAAATTTTAGTAAAATGTATTATGGAATAGTATTTTTTGAAAGAACGTATAGTTAAAAAAGAAGGAAATGTTTTTAATTTATGTATAATATTATTTTATTAAAAAACGTGTGGTAGAAAATAAGATAGAGAAAAATGTATTAAAATTTTAATGGGTTTCAAACAAGGGTTAAATACAAAAGTTTTAAAATAAAATATCATTTTCATTGATCGAAGTTAAAAATAGGCTAGTTTTTATTGTGACGCAAATTTAAATGTTAACTTTTGGAAAAACTTATGGTTTTTTATTTAAAAATAAGAGAAAAGTAAGTTATCAAACGAGACAAGAAATTGTTTAAAAGTAACTTTACATTTTTTTTACGCTAAACCAAAACTAATGTTGTAATTATTTTTCTATTTCAAAACATAAATGTTGTTTTGTGATAAGGTGTAGCTTCTATCATAACACTACACCATAATCTACCTTAGTACAATTTTTCTAATCCTATCCTCACAAATCATAACCCTCCTAAAGATATCCATTTGATACCAAATGCAACCAGATTAACTTAAAAATTAATTGTATTTTTAAATAATTTTTTTTATTTTGTCACTTATAAATAAACATTTTACTTATTTTGACAAGTTTATGTTACTTTATGATATAAAAAAATGGAGGAGGAGAAGAAGAAGAAGAAAAACTTACACAAATTTTAACATAAGTAAAGTTGAAGTTTAGCAAAAAAGTACAAAAATTTGTGGCAACATATTGAGTGACTATAAGCATAATTCATACAAGTAACTTTTATTTTTCAAACAAGTATGTTATTATTTTTTATTTTCATTTCTAAGATAAAGTAAGTAATTTGTTTTGAAAAGTATTGGCTTATTATCAAATAATACTCTAAAACAAGTAATTTATTTGCAATTTGAACCCAAAAGGAAAAAAGATTTACCTTAAATCTACTTATACATAGGAACAGAAGTGCCAAGTGGTGACCAACCCACAACATTTTAATTGTTTTTCAAGAGTAATATAGAATTTTTTTAATATATACATAGACACCTATTTGCTCCCTTAACATTTTTTCGCCCCTTACAATTAAAGCCATAACTCCACTACCCCATACGAAGAAAATCATAGCTCCATTACTGCTTATAAGTTAACATGTTAAGCTTAGCAAACATGACAAAAGGAAAACTCGAACATAACCGTTTCATTTAATTTCATTGGATTTTAATGAGAAGTCTGTCCTCTATTAATTTCCAATAATCCCTTTTCAAATTGTGTGCCACAATAGCAAGAAAATTTCAGAAGTTTTTGTACTCATTTTCAATATTCTTGCAGAAAGACGTGACTTTGATAAAGAAAATAGGTTTGGATTCTTACAGATTTTCGATTGCATGGACGAGAATATTGCCAGGTATATATATGCGTACATATAGTGCATCATTTTTGTCAAATATTATAATCAATTCATTATTTGTGCTTCAAATTTGTATGTTAGGAGGAAGATTAAGTGCTGGAGTAAGCAGAGAAGGAATTAATTACTATAATGATCTCATAAATTTACTCTTGATCGAAGGTGTGTTTATTTATCTTTAACATTTGGTGTTTGCTTTTGTTAGCTTCATAAGTTAAAAATTAAAATTAATGTGGTTTTATTAGAAAGTGAAATTAAAACGATAAAAAAGCTTACCTTGGATTCTTGTAAACTTTTTGTACAGACATTACACCTTGTGTAACCATCTTTCACTGGGATGTTCCCCAGTGTTTGGAAGACGAGTATGGTGGCTTCTTAAGCCCTCAAATTGTGTAAGTAATTCAGTCTTACATAACTAGGCACATTTACCTTGGGAGTTTTAAGAAAGGAAAGCAAATTCAAAAGAAACATGGATATTTATTCAGAAAGAATATCGAGGAAAACCCTTAGGAGAAATTGGATCTCTGTATTATCAAGTTTAGCTCATGTACGAAAATTGAGTAAACTAATGTTGCAATTAAAAGGCATATAAGAATTACGATGTGAACCATATTTTGAAATATTCTTGTGCATTACAGGGAAGATTTTGCTGATTTTGCTGAGATTTGCTTCTGGGAATTTGGTGATAGAGTGAAACTATGGATCACATTGAATGAGCCATGGAGCTTTTCTGTTTCTGGATATGCGTTAGGTAATTTTGCACCTGGTCGGGGTCCAACAAAAGATGACCCTGTAACAGAAATTGTCCATCGTCATAGATGCAATGTTGACGGTCCAATTGTTTGCAACGATGGAGATCCAGGCACAGAACCATATATTGTTGGCCATCATTTGATCCTTTCTCATGCAGCAGCAGTTGACATATACAAGAAAAACTTTCAGGTTCACGTTATTAACATTTTGTAAGAAAGTCTAAACATTTAAGTATTTGTAATAATTTATGCAAATACATTTGCACAGAAAATTCAAGGAGGCAAGATAGGAATCACAAATGTCACAGCATGGTATGAGCCACTCAATAACACAACAGTTGATAAAGAGGCTGCTTCAAGGGCAGTTGATTTTGCGTTGGGATGGTATGTTGCTCTGCCCAGTTTATTTACAATGATTGGCCAATTCTTATTTATGAGAATTCAGAGAAATATACGTGGCAATTACGTCTTCAAGAAATCAGAGTACTTAGAGCTCATTCGGCTGGACTTCTAATTTTATTTCTATTTCTTTTAGAAGAGCTTATTAAGAAAGTTATCTTAATTAGTATTTGAAAACCAATTTTCGAAAGAGTTTTCCAAAAGAACTTTTAGAAAAAATTAAGTTGGGCCAGCTTTCTTTGACAACCCTTATAATTAAAAGAAGTGCTTTTCTTAAAAACCAAACAGGTATAAAAGTAGTTTTTAGATCTGAAAAAAATAATCCTTTTGACTCTGCAAAAGATGGACCCTTAGTTAACTTCCTGATTGATCTATATTCATAATTGAACTTTGCTACTATTACTTTTTTTTTTTTTTTTACACCTTTGTTGACAAATGCTTGAGTTGGCATGCATTTTGACCCTTACTTTGAATTTCAATTATTCAAATCAAAGGCCGAAGTGATGCTACCTCAGCAACTGTCTACGAAGTTATAAAACGCTTTCTGTACAAGTAGCTTACTGTCTTTTAAGTAGAATTTTTAGTTAGGGTTCTTTCGTCATTTAATCATTAGGTTACTTTATAAGATTTTCTATTTATCTACAATTAGAACTTTGTTATGCCTTGGTTCTTCATGTTCATGTATTGAGAGTTTCTTAATTGTTTCTAATTATTTGATATCACAGAGAATCATTGAATACTTAGGAAGATGAATTGAAAGTATGGCTTTTGTGGATTTTTTAAGAATTAATAAAAGTTTTCTATGGGCTTTTATAGATTTTGATTAAAGACTTTTTAAGGACTTTTCATCTAGTAAATTCATTATATACTTGAAAAATTACAATCTTTTTTACTATATAATTAATATTTTCGAGAACCTTGATGCCCACATAATTTTCTTGAGTAAAGCAATTAGTCACGGCCCAGTTATTCAATTTTGGAGCAAATAAAATAATAATAATAAAATTTACTTCAATTTCTGAGTATACAACCAAATTTTTTTCACGAAATTAACATAATTTCGAAGAACACAATTGTTCTTAACCAAAAAAAAATAATAATAATAAATTATTAGATTGATTATACGGAATTAATCTTCACAAATCTCATAGTATATGAGATATTTTTTTTCAAGATTTGTTATTTTTATTTTTCACCAAAATTTCTCTAAGTAGAGAATTCTCCAATAATCACTGTCTATTTGAATATCTCATGATTTATAAAAACTTTTAAAAAGTTTCAATTAAATGCACGATGACTTTTAAAGACTTTTTAAAAGTCTATAAAAATCTTAATTGAATACATTTAAGCTTTTAGAGTATTTGCAAGCCATAAATCAAACACAAATAAACCTTTTAAATCCTCAAATCCTTTAAAAGTCCTAAATGCATACACACCTTAAATGTCCAAATTCTCAATATTCAGGTGAATCCACGAGATTTTTTTATTTTTTTATTTTTTGAAAATGTTAATCTTATTCTCTATTATTCTGATGCATCCACTTAGGAATTTATTTTTTTTTTATTTTTTTTCACTTAAGAATTTTTTTTTTCTTTTTTTTCTTTTTCTTTTTGGTTGGGGGTTGTGGGCGGGGGAGGGGGGTTGTTGGCGTGGGGGAGTGTTAATAGTTTATCATGAAGCCAAAGTACTTAATTAGATTGGGTAGGGAAAATTTTGAATGTGATCAGAACTTCCCTTTAGCCGGTTCGTCTTTGGTGCTTGATTTGGTGGAACTTTAGTAATCAATTATGTAGAATTAAGTGGGACATAAAATGGCTCCTAATTTAGCATTTTTCTTCCTGATCACAAGTCTCGATCCTGTTTTGTGCTTTTTCAGGTTTGTAGCACCCTTGGTTACTGGCGATTACCCACCAGTTATGAGACAATTAGTAAGACACCGCCTTCCCAAATTTACACCAGAACAGACTAATCTGGTGAAGGGATCCTATGACTTTTTAGGCATAAACTATTACACTACTCATTATGCAACCAATTCACCTAAGACACCTGGTGTAAAACCAAGTTACCATACAGATCAGGAAGTGAAAACATCAAGTAAGTATGAGATCATTTTCTTGTACATGATAAAATCATAATTTTTGAGTAATGATATTTAGCCCCACCGGGGTTACAACCCCAGTCTAGATGGCGTTAATGTGACATTAAGTGATACGTGGAATTAATTTAGTCATTTAATTCCACCTTTCATTTAACCTACCATCTAACGTCACCTAAACTATCCCTGTGGAGCTACATAACATTAGGAGTCATTACACTCTTGTAATGTGGTTCTCACTCTCTCAATACTTGGTAGCTGAACGTAATGGGACGCCGATAGGTGAACCGGTATGTTTCTCGCTTTTCCCTTTCCTTAGAAATAAAACTAGAAATAGATCAAATAATCCCTACAGTTTATGCTTCAACATTTTTATATGCAAAAGAGACTTCATTGATTTAATTAGTGCATTATCATTTAAAAACAGGTTTCTCAATGAATTATATTACTTACTATATACCATTACTTTATAAAGCTTATACATAAGTTTATAATATGATTTTAATGATCTCGACTTTTCAGGCTGGTTCGACATGGTTGTTTATTGTTCCAGAAGGGCTTTACAAGCTCTTGGTTCATTTGAAAGAAAGATACAATAATCCCGTCATTTACATCACTGAGAATGGTAATTTCATAGCTTAATGTTAGACTTTTTTCGACAGCAAGCAATTTGTACTCTTTATCAATACAAATGTAAATTTAATGGATGATTGCAGGGGTGGGTGAATTGAACAATAAAACAACAGTTGTAGAAGCTCGGTTTGATGATATGAGGGTTAGATATCACCATGACCACCTTGTCCAACTTAAAAAAGCATTGGAGTAAGTAATCATTAATATATATTTTGATTAGACTCAAATAGTAAATTGCGAAATTAATTACCTGCACTCTTGCGAAAATCAATGTTCATAATTTCACATTCATCTTCAGCCAAGGTGTTCGTGTGAGGTCTTATTACTTATGGTCAATGTTCGACAATTTTGAATGGGCGGATGGATACACCATTAGGTTTGGCATTATTCATGTAGATTTTGAGAACAATCAACTGAAAAGGTTCCCCAAAAGCTCTGCTATATGGTGGACCAATTTCTTGGACACGAAGAAGGTCAAGAAGCCCATCAAGATCAAGAAGGATAAGAAGCAAGCCAAGAGGCGCTTCCTTTTGTTTTGAAATGCTATGTTGAATAATGCGTGTATGGATGCATGCTTGCAGCAGTTCCTTTTGTTCCCTTGTAGTTTGTTTGAGGGGCTCGGTAGCTCGGTTTGTGCAAATGAAAGATTTCTAGTGTGTTCCAGTTCTCTTTGCTGTGTCAAATAATGCATGTTTGGATACGGGTGTATTTGTATATACCTGTTGTGTATACAATTGCACTCTTCATGCCAAGAACATTTTAATTGTATTTGATGTTATGAATTCAGGTTGTGAAATTCTGTCTTTCTGTTTCGAAATTGTGTCATTCCAAACAAAACATAGTGTGTTAATCACGTCATTTAATCGGGACTGAACTGTTTTCACGGCCATTTCATGCGAAACAAAGAAGATTGATTCATTGACTTTGCTTATTAAGTATTACTTCAAAAATTTACTCTTGGCCGTCAAAAAAGTTTATAGTTAAATGAAAACATTGAACGATACTTACGTTTATAGACCTACAAGAGTATTTCCAAGATATTCTCTAAATACAAGATATTTTCTATTTTAGAGATTTAACGCTTAAAAGTAAGCTCTAAAACACTCTCTTTTTAAGTTTTTAGAATAGAGAGAATTAAACTCTCCCTCCTTTCTTACTTTACAAGTGTTGATTTCAAGAAACAGAAATTATTTTCTAAAGCTAATGGTGGAATTTTCAGCTGGAATTTTGGCAGGTTTTTGCCTTCTGGGGGAGGGGACTGTTTGGGTGTGTTTTTGGACAAATTCTTTGTAAAAAAGAAGAAAGGTGAATTTTTCGCCATTATTTTGGATGAGAAATGCACTTCAATTGGAGAATGCTAAGATTTTCATGTGTCGACCTTTAACTATACCTTAATCCGAGGTGAACTTTTATAGAGTGAAAAATTGGATCTTAGATTTTTAACCCTTTATTAGTTGTACAAATGACCCTATTTATAGACGATTGTAGGGATTTTTTTGGTCATTTTCATGTACTGACATTCTCTCATCATTATGTAGAAAGACATCCAATTTCTAAGATTCTCTATAAGGTAATGTTTTTGCGATGTTATGCGCGCACATGGTTCTACTACACTGAAGTCAATGTGATTGTGTCAAAGTTCGCACTTAAATAGAATCTAGGCCCGAGATCGAACCAAGGCCTTTCATTATGCTGTTTAGACGAGGATTCCAATTGTCATTTAGCCAAGTGATTGTGGGTTTGCATTCTCTTGAAGGAGAGCCTAGGTGGCCCACGTGGAGCCCCAGTAGAAAATAATTATTTTAACATGTATCAATAATAATTGTATTTAATAAGACACACGTTGCAATTCTTTACTTTTTATGTTATTTAAATATAGTTAAATTGGTTGGCTACTAACATTTATTAAATACGTTAAATAAAAGATAAGAAGAAATCAATAAATATTTTGTTAAAAAAAAATGAAGAGCCAAAATATATAACATTATTGAAGTATATAAAAAAATTTACCCTCTAAATTTAAAGATATTTTCTATCATACATAAAATGTTCTTTATAAATAAAAAAATTCTTGAAGATGCTCAATTGATTCATAAAAATAACAATAGTCAACCTTAATGCGGCTAACAAATATTGATAACATAAAAATATTCTTTTTCAAATAATTATTATAGATGAATTTTATGTTTTAAAATCTCATCTTTCACTTTTAGCCCTTTTTTGAGCCCCATTTTAGTTGGGAAATATATTTTGAAATACTGATTTTTTGGAGGAGAACGCATGGTTAAAATATGAGGAATAGTTTGCAAATTATATGTAAAATTATTTTATGGGAAAATGTGTTATTGAAAATAAGTTTTGAAAAAATAGGTGCCAAACATAAACTTCATGTTATATATGAATGGGAAATGTTGGGAAAATAGGGGGGCTAACCGCCCCCTGATAGAAATCCCACAATAGAGGGGTGGGGTCCCATTAAAGGTTCGTGTATATTAATAATCTGTATTAAATTATCAAACATTAATAATCAAGGATAAGATTTATGTTTGTGTATATGAATATTCAATGCACGTCTCCGAATGTTCTATTGCATACAACGTCATCGTGTATTGCAATAACCTAATACTAGATTAAATATGGTAAGCCTTATATTGTTTTCTGAAACTTTTTTCTATTTTAGAATATTTGTGAATTTGAGTGTTCGAGTTCCTAAGAGTCGACAATTGCTTCTAACAAAACGTTATTAGAGCTTTGTTGAAGGAATTGTTAAAAGATTGGAGCCTCAAGTTCCTAAATTAAATGGCAGAATTAAGTTCAGTGGAGATAACAAATGAAGGCCTTTTACATCTCCGAAGACGTGGGAAATAATAGCACTTGTATTCGGAGAATTGAAGGATCAAACAAGACTAGCTGAAGCACAACTTGCACAATTGAAGGAAAATCGGAAGAATGACCAAAAGGCACTGTTCACTATTTATCTAGCCTTGAATAGAGTAATTTTTGAAAGAATTTAAAATTCTAATTCAGCAAAGCAAGGGTAGGATATATTGGGTTGGCACTGGTTCGTCGGGTCATATTCACTTTGTTGTATAATTTTGACTATAATATAGCCCCTGTTTGACCTCCAATTTTGGGAAAACTGTGTTTAGAAATTGTTATTTTTTGGAGAATTAGTTATAGTTGAACATGCATTGCACGTTGCTCTAAAATGCTTTATAGGTGCTATAAAAATAATATTATGAGATGTGAGAATAGGAAAAAAAAAATTAATACAAATCATATATGTGGAATGAACCTTTTGACTCAAATGAATTAAAAATCAGTGAAAACAATTTAAATAGATGAGGAAGTCAATTAAATTAATCCATCCTTTTACTATTTTAATCCAACGAATACCATTCTTTCTTTATATTCACTTAAGATGCTTTGGATATATTAGTTGAAATTATTTATTATAGATACGCATTATGTTTCTCATTTACCTTCTTTGTATCTTAACAATTATTAAATATATCAATTACAAGAAAAATCTAATAATATTTGTTTTTTGCTCCAAACAGTTTTAACGAATTTAATTTATTATCCAATCAAATGGAATGAATCTATCAAATATACATTGACCATAACTAACTAATTGACAAAGTAACTTATGATAATATTGTTCAAATAATTAAATAAATCAAATACATATTGAAAAATGAAAGCAACAACGAAATCCTGTGGCAACGAATTCCACATGTTCAAGTGACTCACAATAAGTGGACATACAGATTGTCGGACAACAGCACGTCGCACATCATAAATATACCTGGAAAAATGGATATTTCTCCGGATCGGGATGATGATGTCCCGCGTCGTGGTGGTATTTGTCATGAGGCCAAATCATGTCTGCTGCTAGCGCACCAATGACGCAAAGCATGCGCTTGAAGTAATGGCCAATGGTCTGCAGCGAATGTTCGAACAACATTTGTACCTGTCGATACCCCTTCCCATGCGCCAGTATGCACAAAAATATGTCGACCTGCTCATACACATCAATGTTTGTACTCATTCCAAGCCATATTGTTCTCTAAGAACATGTGTAAAGTGTCTGAACATGGGTGGGTATATTATGAACTGCTGGAAGCACGTTTGTAGATACACATGCATATTCTGTAACATGAATATATGTCTGCTTCGTGATGTAGGAAACAAGTAACAGTGTCCCCTATCTGGTTGCATATACTGACGTACCATCCGATCAGCGATCCAACAGTATTGTAGCCACGTCAACATATCCACCTCCAGTTGCTGCAGTACGTCGTCATCCGAACTATCGTCCGAACTGGTATTGGACATGAGTTCACAATCGGTCTCGGACGACGTATGCGAACTAGATGTGTCCGTCATTTTTTCGTACTGCCACATCGAGAAGCAATAAAAAAAGTATGTATAGTTTGCAGTATATAATAAATTAAATATATTAAAAATGAAAATTATGGTATTATTGAAATAACTATTTACAAATTTTAAAACAAAAAGAAAAGTACTATTGAAATAATTAAAGGGAATCTACTATTTTCGGTGTTTGCTTCACCCTCTGCGGTGTCTTCAAACTTCAAAAACTTCTTCCTTCATTAACTACCATGTCATATTCTGAGTTAACGTTCCAATCATCTTCTCATTAATCATCAATCAAATCATCTTCCTAGTCCAATTGATCAGGTACGACTACCACCAATGCTAATTCATCCTTCACGCTCGAGTTTAATTTATTCTCTCAAATCTGCTCAATTGTTGTTGTGGTTACCTCAGCATCCCATTCTTCTTCACTATTATATTTCTCTTGCTCGTAGGAGGTTGCTATGTTGCCTTATACTGGCTCCTTTTTAAACCAAAATCTCTAGCATAATGGTCTTGTTTCCCATATCGAAACACGAGCCCTTAGTTCGTTGATATCTTTGACCTCTCTTGTCACAATTTTGCTGATCTCTCCTTGTCTGGTAGCTTCCCTCAATCCATCCTTTAGATTTACCTCCTTTAAATTTTTTATTATTTTGTTGACGAGGTTGACCTCTTTTTTTATAATTATATAATGCTTCTTCCTCTTCTTTCTTTATCAAGACTCCTAACATTTGTCTGGTTAACGCTTCTTGATCTGCTAACAAATTTTCAAGATTAACTAATGAAGGTTGCTCGAGCCAACCTTGTATTGCAGCGATAAAACTTCTAAATTCGGGTCTCAATCCATGTATAATTATTCTTCTCATTTGAAACTCCGAAATTTTACTTAAAGCATCTAACTCAGAAATTTCACAACACAGATATTTAACTTTATTAAAATATTCACTTATTGTTAATTCTCCTTGAGTGATTGAGAGCAGCTTGTTCTCCAACAATTGCAACCTCAGGTCATTTTTCTTCGAGAATAGTGAGGATAAAGTGTCTCATGCTTTCTTTGGTGTAGTCTTATCTCTTATGTGCTCTAACATATCTTCTTCGATTGTCGTTTTTATAACGAACAAAGCCTTACCTACTTTGATTTTCCACTTCTTCGTAGCTCCGGCCTCTTTTGGCGGCGTTACGTCACTTCTGCTAACTATCTTCCACAGGTCTTGCCCTTAGAGATACGGCTTCATACAAGTTTGCCATGTGGTATAATTATGATTAATGAGCTTCTTTACTCCGCCTAC